TTTTGGTCTTTTAAGGGGTTGTAACATGTAAGAGATTATTGTAATATTATTTCAGACTCGTCTTTCATGTGATTAAGATGAGATGTTAGACACCTCCTATTCATTCTGACAGTAGCTGTTTCGACTGTGGTCTGATCCAAGATGGCCGCCCTCCAGGCACGTCGACCGGCGTCCAATTAGGCGTCTACGTATATGTTTATAGTTTTGTCCACTTTTAAGTGATGCTTTTGTATCACTGAGTAGTTTCTCAGAAATATTTTAAGAGATGTGTATTTTTTTTTTTTTTCATGTTAAGATCCCAGAATGTTTGATAAAGGAAACCAGATGGGGTCAAAACCCCGACTTTGGGAAAAAATATTATAGAAAATCATTAAACAGCTTTAAAGGTGCTGCACAAACCTGATCCAGTTACATTTAAGCAGACCATTCAGAAATTTTTTTTGAAGGAAACCGACTACATAGAGACTGTTAAGACGTTTTCTCTGAGTTATTTTTTTATTCTGAGAAAAAAACATTTACTGTCTTTTAATGCAGTTTATGTTAATATTTGGTTAAACCTACTCAGGTTTTATTCTAGACAAAATGTAGGTAATCTGTGTGAGGAGGTTTTGTCTTGAAGTTGGTATCTTCTACATCCTACTGGAAACAGAACTCTTCCAGTTTGGTAACCAACACCACTTTGGACATAGTTTAAGCATTTTTAGCTTCAACATAAGTTGATTTTTCTAACTTCTGGACCTATTTGTTTGTAGTTGATCTCCTTACTCCTCGCTTTTATTGGTCGTCTTTGTAATTAGCTTGAAAGCAGTCAGACGCTCAGTTAGCCATGAGCAGCAGTTCTTCAGGCTTTCTACGTGTTTTTAATTCTCTCTTTGAACATTGGCTGCTTTCTGCTCTACTCGTTGAAAAAAAAAAATATATATTTTTTTTTTTAAGTTTCATGAACAGTTTTAGAAATACAGGAAAAAAACACCTGCAGTCTCTGTTGAATTTCCTGAACTTTATTCATCTTTTGTTCCATTAACTCCAACAACTCCAGGTTTTAATCTGAGGCAGTCAGTTTCTCTTGAAATAAATTTATATTCCTTTTATTTGAGCAGGTAAGACAATTTGCCAAAAGATTAATGCAATTTATGCAGAAAAAAAAAAAAGAAAAAACAGAGTGCTGTATATATTCCAAGGGAATAATGTCAGATTATCATATTTTAAAGGCAAAATTACTCTAGTTTATTTAAACAAAGTGTCTAATTGTGTAACGATCTTGGTTCTGTTGGTTTTCAGTTTCACGTTTATTCATGTTTTTCTTTGCTTTCTAGCTTTATTGGTGTGTTCTGGAATTATTTAAGTTTCTTAGGTTTTTCTTTCCTTGTCCTCTGTTGCCCCCTTGTGTTTCCTTTTTCCTTTGGCTTCCTCATCAGCTCTACTCACACCTGCTCCTTATCAGCTCCTTAGTCCTGCCTTTGTTCAGTCGGCCATAAATACACTCCCTCTGCAGTCCCTCAGTGCTGGTTCCTCGTCTTACTTTGTCTCACCCTGGCTCCTTGTGATAGTCTTCCCCTGATGTCTCCATGATTCTGGTTAGTGTTTAATTTTTATGATGGATTTTTGGATTCCTGTTTTTGCTACCTGTCTTATCCCATTAAATCATCAGAGAACTCACCCCTGCCTCTCAGCCTCTGCATTTGGGTCCTCACAAAAACCTCCAAACAAACCCTGACAGATTAAGGGAAAATATGCAACATTAGAAAATAGAAACACTAAACAGATATTAG